ACAAAATGGTCTTGATGAATCTTTGATTAAACGATTACAATTAATCGCCAGATCATTATTAATTAAGTGTAATTTACCTTAATCTGCTTGGGGACATGCTATTTTACATGCAACAAATTTTGTTTGACTTAGACCAACTGCATATCATGAATATTCCTCAATGCAATTAGTAACTGGACAAGAGCCAAACTTAGAACACATAAGAATATTTGGTTATGTTGTTTATGTTCCGATTGCTCCACCTCATCGTACAAAAATGGATCCTCAAAGAAGGTGGAGAATTTATGTTGGTTTTGAATCTCCCTCAATGATAAAATATCTTGAACCTATGACCGGTGATTTATTTACCGCACGATTTGCAGACTGTCATTTTGATAAGACAGTGTTCCCGACCTTAACGGGAGAAAGTAATAAATTAGACCCAAGTACGAAAGAGATATGATGGAATGCAACCTTGTACAAGCATCCCTAGTACAGAACCCATCAATCATAATCTTCGGCCCGTGACCTTCATCTAAGGATTCTCCCATACGGTTGCCTTGGTCAGGGTTCGCCAGAAAGTTGGATTGATGAGGAATTCAGGGGTACCACCTCGGCTTCAGACACTTTCTACTCCTTCACGCCAGCACCACTCTCGGCTTAATGGAGTGTGGGACTGGGGGAATCCACCTCGGTGAAAACCAACAAAAGTAGCCCCTTGGTGATGGAGACCTCCATTACGACACATCTCGACCAAGGAACCGAATCATAGCTTGGCTGAGAACCATTAGTGCAGTAACACGACAACTAAAAAAACAACTCCACTAGATCACATACAACAACACGGTGGTTGGAAAACTGAGGACCGCCTCAGCCAATGGCTTTGACTCAATTGAACAAAAGAACACTGGAATACTCTACTTCCTTTCACCTTGACACCTCTTGACTTAGAGAGTGGGGGACTCCTGATAGAGTATATGGTTCCAAACCCCACGGCCCACACACTCACAGAAGACAAACACCACAAGGCACCTACTACTAGGCTGGTTCCCTCGGCCAGAAGAGGCGGCCTCTACAAAAATGCCTAGAAGCTCAAGATTAGAGAACTGGAACAAAGTCATATCCTCGTCCTGGCCTCCCACGGTCAAGGATCCCTCGACCAAGGCTCCCTCGGCCAGAACCCTCATAAGTAGCTTAATTTACACTTAGCTGTATGAAATCATGATGTAATCAGCCCATTAGCGGCCCTCTATTGTATCGAGCCTCTCAGGCCAAAGGCATGAAGCCGAACCCACATTTCCTCTATAAATAGTTTCTCTCTCTAGCTTTTACTTCTCTCTAGATCTATACTATATCACTACTTATAATTTAGTACTAAGTATTTAATAATAATACATGATAAACATAAAAAAGGTGCAAAGAACTTTCTCTCTCTAGCTCTCACTTCTCTATAGATCTATACTCTATCACTACCTATAATTTAGTACGAAGTATTTAATAATAATACATGATAAGCATAAACAAAAAAATCATTGTTTTAACAGATACTACCTCCATTCTTAAATAAATGCAACACTTTGACTTTTACACTATTCACATGTTCTACTTTGACTACGTTTTATTTATTAATGTAATAATATTATTTTATGAAAAATATTGTTAAACTTGTCTCATTGTAAATTTTCATAATCTATTTTTTTTTAATTTTTTTACTAATACAAAATCATTTATATTAATGGTCAAAGTCGTGTTTCGACAAGTGTGAAATGTTGATCGTTGCATTTATTTAAGAACGGAGGAAGTACATTTTAAGTGATTGTTAAATGGTTTATCAACATTTTTTAGCTTTGATCTAAGGCTATGAGGAGAGTGAAACCCTAAATCTCTCATCGCACAAAAAGGTGCATCACAGCGACAATGCGCAGCTTGTCTGCAAATTAGGTTTAGTGACGCGAAACTTTCTTCATCGGTGATTTAGAGTTTTCTCTCAGCTTCAACGGGAAGGTATATGATGAAAGGTGAGAAGGTGAGTATGGTGCAGACTGTAGACCCTAGCCAGAGGTTTTGTTTCACCCGTGATAGATTGTGGTGCCATGACTATTGACCAGGACGGCGACGAGCAACGACTTAAGCACCTATGAGTGGTAGCAGGGGCGGATTGGACATAGGGCCAAGGAGGGCATAGCCCCCACCCTCAATTTTTTTTAAATTATTTTTAACAAGTATATATATATGTATAAAAATTAGGCCCAACCTCAGTTTTTTTTAAAAAAATGTTAGTATACACCGGTCTTGATTTGTTTTTAGTTCGGGCGCACAAATCCACTCTCCCAACTCCCAGGTTCCCAAGCGTGAAGCACTGCACCCAAGCCCAAAATATAAAAATAGCCCAACTCCATAGCAAGGACCACAGGGTAGTCCACAAAGCTCACTTATCGCTAATGGTAGGAATCCCAATCAAATCCCAACCCAGCAGACAACAACCCTTCGTAACCTCGTCAATCTCTGTCTGGCCGTCATCCGATGAGTTTTTGAAGTAGACATTAATATATTACATTTTGATGTTTTTTTCAATATACGTTATTTAACTAAATTTTGCTCCCCTTAATGTCAAAGTTAGATCCACCCCTGAGCGACGATTGTGGAGCAATAGGTTTGGCAAAGGTCAGAGTTCGACTGACAATGAAAGATCAATCACAACGGTACCTATTGTCGCGCCTCCTCCCGAATCATCATCACGGGTTGAAAGAGGTGCAGCGGTTTGAGAAATTTATCTTATTAGTTATTGTTATTTTGTTTGGACTCCTTTTAAAGTCTATGTTTCTAGATTTGTCGAGATGATTGAAAATTTGGTTAACTTTTATGTCGTTGGAAGTATTCAGATCTATAAAACCAATTATAACTGTGTCAAACATGTTTCGTGATTAGCGATTCGTGTTGCTCTTTCAAGGGTGACCGTTCATATGTGAAATCGTAGAGTTTACAGTCATAGTTAATGACATGTATGATTTTCCTTTGATTGATGTAACAATCCTGAAACTAAAGATATAAATGTAGACGATTTCGTTTTAAAAAACATGTACATTTTTAACAAATAAAATGAATTTGGAATTACTTGGACAATAAATATGAACACAACATTTAATACAAATCCTATAATATTGTATAAGCATTTTTCACTTATTTTTGGAATACTATTTATAATCAACCTTGTAATAAGAGTAATAATAATAATTGCTAGTGATTTTAATTAAAACTTAACGATGAATGTTTCAAATTACAGGTATAATAATGTTTTTTTGAAAGGAGGTATAATAATATGTAGGGAAAAGTACGGAAAATAGGGATGGACTCGAGCCGGTTCCGGTTCCGGGCCAGGCCCGGGCGGGCTTTTTTTGCAAATCCTTGGGCCCGGAATCGGCCCGGGTTGATACCTCCAAACCTCCCCAAAACACCCAGCCCTACCATAGGAAAAGAAAAAAAAATTGACAAAAAAAAATAGACCCAGGCCCGGCTTGAACCGCCTGGGCCGGTTTGCCCAAACCTGGGCCCGAGCCCGGCCCGCCCAAACGGGCTAAAAGCCCGGAACCGGCCAACCGGTCCGATCCGGGCCCGCACAACAACGGGCCGGGCCGGTTCCGGGCCGGCCCGGTTTAGTCCATCCCTAACAAAAGAAGTACTTGTGATTGAACTCGTTTTCGAATAGGGTCATGTGTTTCATTCTTTATCAAAGTGGTTCATGTGTTTGAATTACATTATCACAAGAAAGTCACACCGTTAAAAACGTCCGAAAAAGAAAATTAAAAGTAACTACGATTTTTAAAAGTGCTCGAAAAATTAAAAGAAGAATACCGAAAGGTGCGCCTCAATAAGACGACCACTAGGCTATCTTTCCTTTTTGTTTTCAATCACCCTTGTCACCGAAAAGTCCACCGCAAAAGTGATATTAGCGAAATCAATTTTAAAAAAATAATTCAAACAGATCTGAAAAATCCAAAGGCGAAGGTGGTTTGGAGGTGATTTTGACGAGACACACCTTTCAGTATTTTTGTTTTAAGTTTTTGGGCACTTTTGAAAATCGAAGTTACTTTTAACGGTCTTTTTCTGACATTTTTAACGGCGTGACCCTCTTACGATAACGGAATTCAAACACATGAACTATTTTGATAAAGAATGAAACACATGACCCTGTCTGAAAACGACCCAACAACAAGTACATTTTCCGTACTTTTCCCTAATATTTAGGATGCCAATAATTTTAACTTGTGTAATTTCATGCTACAGACGAAGGGTGAAACTGTATACTTGTATTGTAGTACTCCATGCATTCCACAAAATTTAATCGCATTTATAAGAAAATGTGTGATTGAGATTTGTGAAAAACTAAGAGAAATAATTTAAGGCTAAAGGGTCAAATAGGTACATGAACTAACTTAAAGTGTTCAATTAGCCTTTATTTAGGATGTTCTACCCGGCCGTCGCGAATTGGGGCGGTTCCAGATTGATTTTTTTGATAAAATTTTTTGAGCATCTTCTTCATTAAGTCTAGTTTACTCATATCGAATTTCAGCTAAAAATTAAATCGAGAAGGCAGTCGAATGATTTTCCGAAATGTACTGCGTTGTTTAACTGCGCAGTTATCTTCAAAAAATCATTTGACTGCCTTCCCGGTTGAATTTTTAGCTGAAATTTGGTATGACTAAACTAGACTTAATGAAGAAGATGCTCAAATACTTTCGTCAAAAAAATCCACAGGGAACCGTCCCAATTGGCGACAGCCGATCAGAACATCCTATATAAGGGGCTAATTGAACACTTTAAGTTAGTTCATGTACCTATTTGACTCCTTAGCCATAATTTAATCACATTTATTACTCAATAAAAGAAAATTCATTTTTTTGTGAAAAGACGGGAGTAATAATATATTGAGTTTGATAATGTTGATATTAATGATACTCACAATTATAGAAAATAAGGATGACAACAAATATAATGATAATTATAAATCATTACATTAACGATTAGTCAAATATTTTTTGTTTAATTTTATTTGTAAAAGATATAGCGAGTACTAGGTATAATGTATCAATAATTTAACCAATGTACCCGTACAGGTAGGTCAATTGATTGAGTGGTGAGAAAGTCAGAAGAATGATCAAGGATCGAATCGCACAACAGCCGTGTGAAGGTTGCAACAGAAGAATTGATTTGGACCTCTGATGGACATGAGTATAAAGTCTACAACCGTGACTTACAACCTCTCGGTGTTTCAAAGGAGGTAGTAATAATTGAATGGCGAGTGCGGAGTACGTTTTGAGGTAAAGGAAAGAGAGTAGTGACCCATTGAGGCACCCACCAAACCAATGCACAGCTTGCATAGATTTGGGTGCATGATGGATGATTGCTGGTACAGAGAAAGTGAGATACAGTAAATCAAATGGACGGATATAATTCCAACTTATACTCATCAGTTAGTACACCTACCTACCTGCCTGCCTAATGGGTTGGGTTGAATTCACAATCAATAGTTATCCATCGACCTGCCTACACCTACAGACTACAGTACGTAGTACGCTTTCTTCCAAACCCGCCCCGCCCCGCCCCGCCCCGCCATATATACCTTGCGAAAAAAGATGGTGGCAAAAAACAAAACCGGCACCCAAATATGGCCAGGCCGGCCCGGACGCTGCTGTCAAAGTGTCAAACTTCTGCAAAGCTTCTTCTTTTGGGGCGGCACAACGGCGGCAACCCCAACCACATTCAGCTGCAACACAAAATCAATCAATTCATTTCTATTATGTATACTCCTTTTTGGGCCGTAAAATTCTTTATGGAGAATTTTATTAATCAATCAATTCATTTCAATTATGAATCAACCATACAAGAATTATACCGTATGTGTGTATGTGCTAACATAAAATTTGACATTCTGCTAAAATTTGCAAAATTTTGACTAGAGCAATTGTATTGTCGGAATATGAAAAAATTATATTTAAAATATTTTTTATTAATAAAAGAAGAAAAAATTATACACCATCCGCACTTCAAAGTTCCTTACATTTTACCTTGTGGACTGTATTTAAAAAATTTCTACATTTCCAATTTTTTTTGTAAGTTTACCCTTTTTAAAATAATCAATTACTCTTACTTTATCTACTTTTTATTTCTCTTTCATACTTTTAAACGTGATTTCCTACTTTTTCTATACTATTCACTACCTCTATTACTTTACTACTTGAATAATGTGTTCAATCTTTTATAGTGAACATTAAAATAAGCACAAAGTATGAAAAAATAGCTAAAATAATAGTTTACAATAACTTCGGTCACACAAGTAATTTCAACCATACTTTTTCTTGTTATTAAACAATTCAACGCTCGCAATAAAAAGAAACATGTTTAGTGAAAAAGTTAATCGCATAACAATCCGGAAAAAAAAAAAAAGGATGAGCCTCTTAATTAATCAATTAATTACCTTCTCCTGTCTTTTGAGCTCCGCATTCTCTTTCTTCAGATGCGCTACCTTTATCTCCAGCTCCTCTCTGTAAGCCTGTACGTGCGCACGCAGGTACACCCCACCCCATTCATTCATTCATTCATTCATATTAAAGCTAGCTTGAATTGGATCCAGCTACAAACTACCCAAACTATATATACATATATGCGTAGAGAGAGTAGTTCAATTGTTGTATAAATGACGAATGATCAAAACTCACCACAGCTGCGAGGAAGTTATAGTTCCCGTGAATATGACTTCAGAACAAATATGTAATACTACATTATAGTAATTTTTTCTAGAAAAATGTTGCATACCACTTCCAGAATGGGTGAACTACATCCAATCCAATATTCAGTTAAAATTAGGAAAAAAGAAGGATTTATTTTTGTACTCAATCATCTCAACAAGCTAATTAAGGCTGCAGGGCTAGTACGCGTACGTACGTACCTGTTTTTTGGCACGAGAACGTTCAGCAGACTCTCTATTCTTAATCAAGCGTTGTTCTTAGCGGTGGTCGGCGTCGCTCCCCGCTCCTCGCTTTCTTGTGACGGGATGAAGCCGACTGGGAGGAGGAATTGCAGAGTTGACGGCATCGGACGACACAAACCGGGGGGCGTTACTTGTCACAAACAGGCCAGTCGCCGGGGGACAATTACTGGCCCCGCCGCCGTACTCCGTGGAGAGAGGTAGAAATTCTTCGAAGCCGTTGGGGCCGACGGTCCCCGCTGGGGGTGGGGGGAAAGGCGAGGAGCAGGAGAGAGTAATGACTTTCCAGAATTCCTCCATTTGCGATTTCCACGTGCTGTTTCGGGGATCACATCTTAATATCTTATCGAGTGTGAGACTTTCTTCTACCCCACCCCTCCAACTTGTCACATGACAATTTTTTACCACGGAGTAACTTTTTGAATTAATCTTCAATTTTTAGAATAAACTAGCTTGAGATGCACGGTGACACACTTTATCGTGTATCGTGAGGTGTATTCAAAATAATTACAATACAATACTAAGACGAAGTATAGTGAAATAAGGTTCGTATCCACAGGGAAAAGAATACTTTTCTTTTATATAAATAGTAACAAGAGAGGTTTTTAGTTTGATTTAATAATACTAAGATGAACAACCTATATGAGTTTGATTAATAGATGTGGAGGCTTGGTTTTGCTTTTATCCACTAAATGAAATGTTCGTCGATCTCGGTTATATATTTAACTATCTTCCTCTCGAATACTCAATCGAGGAGTATATCCGGTTCATCGAGGGTAGTTATTAATAACGAGATGCATTCATTAATAAAACTTACTACTGAGTCAATATAGAACAAGCGCCGTATATTAACTTGATAGTAATAATAAACTTAAGATGAAAACGATTGAGATTGATAACCTCAACACAAGCGGTTTATTGTTTTAATCAATATAATTAATTCTCCTTGGCATATTAACCATGAGATGCATGCATTAATATTTCAAGTTTACTACCGTTGAAAGAACCGGATTAATAACAAGCGTATTAACCGATCAATTCTAGTAATAATTAATATGAGAAACAAAACTTGTTGATACTTTAAGTAATGTTTAAAATATTAACATGAAATATGAATAGGAATTAATTAATACTCAAGGAAGAATATTAAAGAATATGAATCCTACTATGATTAACATCAAGATGTTAACTAATTGTCATCTTAGTAACACTCCCCAATATTAACATAGAGGAAGAAATAACTATTACTATAACCAATGTCAAGATGTTAACTAATTGTCATCTTAGTAACACTCCCCAACTTTGATATAGAAATAGTATTTGAAAGGAAGAATTAATATTCAAGGAAGAAGATTAAAGAAAATAACTCACAACTTACAAATTCATTAAGCTTCGACTAGTAGAAAAAGCGCCTATAGTGACACTAATTTAGTGTCGCTGAATTCAAAGTAGCAAAACCAAGATGGAAGAGTTTAGCTCCTCATTTGGAGACTAAACATGATGAAAAATATAAAGAAAGAACTATTCTATACTGAGCTTAGATGTACAAAGGAATTGGATATCTTTTTGTTAAGGAAAGAAGGTGTATTTATAGGCTTTTGGGATGGGATTCGGGTACTCGATCGGGTATATACATGGTACCCGATCGAGTATGTGTGTAATACTCGATTCGAGGTATACTCGATCAGTTTCAGGCTATTTTTCACAGGTATACCCGATCGGGTATATGTTTATACCCGGTCGAGTATGCTTAGAAAGTGGTATTCGGACCATACTCGACCGATCTTCGTTTAAAACTCAAAGGCATACCCGATCGGGTATGTCGGTCTACCCGATCGGGTATAGACATTAAATCGTGGCCGAAATCCTCCCGGCATGTTCCTTTGTCTTCGGATCTGATCCGATTTGAAGTTTCAACCTAATACCCGATCGAGTATAGTTAATACTCGACCGAGTATAGACCAAAATTCAGGATCCTTCTTTTGTCTTCAAATTTTGCACCTTCTTTCCACTCTTTGGGTTCACCAACTGTACTTTGAGTGATCAAGACCTGTTTGAGCTCAGAATATATCTAAACTATTTACAAGAATTTAACAAACTAATCTATTACACCAAAAGTGTGTAATTTCCATAGTAAAGATCAATCAAAACTAATTAAAAACACAAACATGCATATGGAAATTACAAATGTATCAACTCCCCCACACTTAAACCTTTACTCGTCTCGAGTAAGATCAAATGTTCACAAGTGTCAAGTTTCTCCAAAGTTTCCACAGTTTAACAAAAAAACATACAAACACAAAGACCACCAAGGATGACAAAAATGAGTTTTAAACTCAAATTACAAAGAACATCTTGGGTTTTATGGCCTTCTAGTGTTCATCTTCTCTTCTCCTCCTCTCTTCTTCTTTGTCTTTGTTTTCTGAATCTTCTTATTCTTCAAAGAGATACAATGAGTGCCTGCAAAAACAAACATTTCTCTCATATCTCTCATTTTGCCTAGGAGTTTTTTCAGGTTTTCATCCTAGCATCTCTTTTCATTTTCCATTCTCCCCAACTCACTCATTTTTTTTTATAAGCCTTTTTTGCTTAGATTGCCCATTTTGTTGGGTTTTCAACCTAACTAGCATTTATTTTTATTTTTTTTTGTGTGAATAGTTCAAAAGAATTACATGCATAGTACTAGGTGGAAATTAAAATTACATACCATCATGAGTCTCTCCCCCGCACTTGAATCAAGCACTGTCCCTAGTGCCCGCCTTCTCCGCTGTAGTAGCTCCCTCCGAAGCCGCTCCCCTGCCCACCATCTCCCATATATGTGTCCCCGCCATCTCCGCCGTCGTACCCTCCACCCCCGGAGCCAGATCCTCCAAAGTTACCCCAATGAGTGGGGTCATACCACGAGGGTGGTGGAGGGGGGTTTGCCATGGTATGAAAAGATCCCTGTTGTGCCATGTAAGAGTACATAGGTCCGTAGAACCTACGTTGGTCTTCTTCATACCGATGTCTATCGGCTTCCCTGAGCTCCTCCAATCGCTGAAAACCGACCCTTTGCTCCTCCTGTATTTGATTGAGCCGGTTGTCCATAGCCGTGTAGTTTGCGATCATTTGGGCGTACCCCGTGAACAATTGTTGTTGACCCTCCAAAAGTTGTTGAAAGAAGTCGGGTGGTGGAGGGTTTTGGTTTTGTTCGGGAATGTCATTGCCCATGTCTTGATGGCTATGGAGTTGAGCATAGGGCTCGTAATCGGGTTGGTATTGAGGAGGTTCTTGCTCCGGTTCCTGAAGATGTGGTGGAAGGGCGTGTGGGAAGAGGTAATGGGGCTCCTCTACTGCTTCTTTGTACCGGAGTGTAGGGAGTTCTGGGTTGGGCAGGAGGAAGTATTTGAGAGGTTTGGGGTGTATGAGCCAGTTGTACATATTCTTTGGTCTTTCTCCACCATAAACTGTGTGGGAAAAAGCTGTACATCCCGAGTGGCCCAACCAAGAAATGTTCATCAAACAGTAGTCGGGTATAGGAGAGTTATCCGTATACCCGAACTTGGTAGCTAAGTGCATAATCACTCCACCCACCACAATAGCGCCCTTGGCTACGCTTTCCTTTTTCAGATGTGCCCACATAAGATTACACAGGTTGAAATCCACGTGAACACGGAATAGGACCACAGACATTAGGCATACATCCCCCATCCTAGTGTGATGGTTGTTGGGACGTCCAAGCAAGCAATTGGCAAGGAATTTCAAGAATAGGCGGATGACGGGATGTTGGACATGACTAATATACAATTGGGAGGAGCTAAATTTAGTCTCCCCGGTCATCTTTGTCCATAGGGTATGGCCGAAAGCGGTATTATCGGATATGGATTTTTGGTAAGGGACCGGAATACCAAAATGTTCGGTGAGGCTGGCTGGGAGCCTGGGAAGAAGATGTGGTGTAGGAGGGACTGTTCGGGGGTAGGAACACCGGCTGGAGAAGACGAGGTGGGACTGGACTGATCTCCTGCGGTTTCGGATGGGTTGAGTTCAGGAAGAGGAAGTGGTGGGGTGGAGCTAAGGTCTCGGCTAAAGGATGATGCAGACGAGTTTACTGGAGAGGTTGGATGGAGTGAGGGCCGTAGTGAGGGGCTAGGGGAACCGGCTGGAGCTTATGGAAGTACCTGCTGCGCAGGCGCAAGTAACGACAAAGGTCTGGTAGAGGGCGATGGCCAGGAGAAAGGTCAGTCGGTGACAGTAGAAGTAGGTTGGTGCCATGTGAAACAAGCTAAGAGAAGGGAAAATCGGTTTCATGGAATAAGACATCCTGACTAATATACACTCTTCAAGAAATAGGTTCTAAACACCGGTAACCCTTGTAAGCCGGAGCTTGCCCAATAAAGACACAATGCGTGGAGCGAGATGAAAATTTATTGGAAGAGTCTGCAATAAAATTGGGAAAACATGCACATCCAAAAACACGTAAAAAATTAAAGTGAGGAGGTTTATTAATTTAAAAGCTTTTCGAAAGGAGTAAATTTATACAAGAGTGGCGTTGGTAGGCAATTAACAATATATGTGGCAGTATATGATGCATCAACCCAAAAATTAGACGGGATAGAAGCCTCAATAACATGGTCCTAGTTAACTCAAGAAGATGTCTATGCTTGCGCTCAGCAACACCATTTTGAGCTAGAGTATCTGGACATGATTTTCTAAATAAAATACCAGATTTCAAAAAATGATTACTAAAGATAATATTGTCAAATTCACCACCACCATCACTTTGAAAAGCTTTAATTTTCCTATCAAAAAGATTTTCAGCTAGTGTTTGAAAATTACAAAAATAATTATAAACCTCAGACTTATGCCGCATAGGATAAATTGAAGTGTAGCGAGAAAAATCATTAATATAGGAAACATAATATTTAAATGCTAAATTTGAGATAACTGGCGACTGCCAAACATCTGAATGAATAAGTTCCGGCGCAGCAGAACCAACATAACGAGGGCAAGTGAGTGTGGAATGACCTGGAGAGAAACCAATTTGGCATACAACTGGAGGCTGTGGAAAGTGACTATTATCCACCGATGGAAAACCTGCACTGACATTGTTAATACCTACAGTGATTTAAGTACGAATAACGAGACAAAACATTAGTCAATACCTCACCTGGATTGCCAGTTGGAGCCTGCACCTGAGGAGGACCATAGGGAAACTGTTTTGGAGCTTGGCAATGGAAGAATGGGTGGTTGTTGATTTCCATAACCTGCCTGTTGATGCTGGAATGGAGCACCACAGCCGCGGGTCGTACCACGCTGCCCACGACTGCGTCTACCGCGGTAGCCACGCCCTCCTGGTTCTTGGCCCCCTGTCCATGAGCCGCTCGAGCTGCACCCCCTCTGTTAGGATCCGCTGGAGCTACGGGAGTAGTTGGAGTCGCCACAAATGCTTGATGGGCTGGAGTAGATTCTTGAGAGCGAAGAAATAGATTTTGTTGTTTTTAGGCAAGAAGAATGGGCTGCAATGTCTCAAGAGTAAAATTACTCGGAATATATGAAACAAACGTAATTAAAGACTCATATTCGGGCCCCAAACTGAGTATAGCGTATTCAATTAAATCACAGTTTCTAACAGGTGAATTAATAGAATTGAGATTATC